CACACACACACACACTAGTACCTCTACTTATGAAATTAATTAGTTCTAGAATAAATTTCTTAACTAGAACATTTTGTAAGTAGAAACGCGTTTTCCATGTAAATGCCCTAATCTGTTCCAAGGCCCCCCCGCCACCCCCCAAATTATATAAATCCATCCATCCATCCATTCATCCATTTTCTTATCCGCCTCTCCTCACAAGGGCCAAAGATAAAAAGATAAACCAACTACATGTACCATCTTTTGGGGTTGTTTCACCCCCGCCCCCACACACACACACACACACACACAAGCCCAAAGCATCCATACACTGACCATTTCTAATGAATGGTTATTTAGTAAATGAGACACTGTGGACATTGTTCAGATTCTCAGTCATCCAGGTGATGATAATGTACAAAACTTGAATGAAGGACACTGGGCTCTTTCCGGTGGTTGAATAAGTTAACCTTTAATCCAAAAATCTGTCTAGTCCCCTCGATTCAACTTTTGCAGACTGTAGGACACTGTGTCAAGTAAAAAAAAATATTTTCACAGTGTAGTGAGCAGCTGCTTCAGAATTAACTACGGTACTTGCATACAAACAATCCAAAAGTCCATTTTCAATAATTTGGCCATTAAATCTGAACGCAGCAATTTTGTCCTTGACCTGTAGGTGGATGCCAGAGTCAGCTCGATGGCTCATTGCCAACGGAAAGATGGAGGAAGCTCACTTGTGTCTCGTCAAATGTGCCAAAATGAACGGAACCGAGGCCTTCTGTCAAAGACTTCAACCCGAGGTTCACAACGTCCTCATAATGTTCGTAAGTGTCATGTTCTAATTGTCAAAGTCATCAAGAATGTTCCTTTCACATTTCTAGACTCTGTCCTCCATTGTGGTGTCAGAGAAGAAAGGGCGAGTGTATTCCTACTTGGACCTGATGAGAACACCTAAAATGAGAAGACTGTGCTTATGCACCGGTTCGCTTTGGTCTGTGCGCAAGATAAATGATGTTCCCCCGCATCCATTTGTGGGTGCGGGTCACCTCATGTTACAGTCCACTCTCTCTTCTCCAGGCTCAGCGTGGCAATCGCATTCTACGGCATCACCTTCAACATCAGCGGCTTTGGCCTCAACATCTACCTCACTCAATTGCTCTACTCTTCAGCTGAAGTGCCGGGCAAATTGTCCATTTTCTTCTTACTGGACAGGATTGGCAGGAAGCCCACGCAGGTGGGAATGCTGATGATGCTCGCAGTCTTTCTGGGAATCAACGTGGTGGTGCCAAAAGGTTTTGCCGTTGCTATATTTTCACGGATCGAGCCGTCATTTTAAGATGCTGTCATACTTCATGATGTCTGTGACCCTCCCCCCAGATATGTCTACCTTGAGAACAGTGGTTGCAATCGTAGGAAAAGGCTTTGCTGCAGCATCGTTTGGAACCACTGTGCTCTACTCGTCTGAGCTGTTTCCCACTGTTATCAGGTGGGCTCGGAAAAAAAAAAGTCATGTCTTACTTCACCTCTGGAGGCGGCGACTTGTTTGCATCCGTGCAGTGAAACGATGCGAGATACTGGCGCGCGTGGATCTATTTGCAACACCATGAGGTCTATACTGTACTTTCTATGTTGTAGACAAAACGGGATGGGCTACAACTCCTTCATGGCCCGAATCGGTGTGGCCCTCGCTCCTCTGATCCTTTTACTGGATGGTGTGTGGAAGACGCTCCCCCAGCTCGTCTTGTTCTCCTCGGCTGTTGTGGCCGCAAGTGTGGCAACGCAGCTGTCAGAAACACGCGACCGTTGCCTGCCGGAGACCATTGAGGATGTCGAGGGGAGGCAATAGGCTCCAAGATCATTACTGCTGGGAGTTTTATCTGTTACGTTACCTCTGATTAGAATTTCATCAAAGCTGTGAAGCTGGACCAACAGGACTGAGTACAGTACCGCTCGTTTTACTTTCAGGGATAAATATGTGTGCAACGGCAAGTAACGGGGAACAAATGTGAGATTTTTTTGTCGTTTTGTTTTTCTACTGCAGGCGGCTATTTTCAGACCAATATTCTTACCTGTGTCTTTGGTAGTTACTAGAGCAGCGGTCACCAACCTTCTTGCAACTGAGAGTTACTTCTTGGGTAATGATTAATGGGAAGGGCTACCGGTTTGACACTGTTTTTAAGTAGCAAATTTTATCCATTTATTTGGGGGTAAATCATCCCCTCGTCGTTTTTTTTCTTCTGTTAGCTTTTCTCCACATGCTTTGCTTTGAATTTGGTCATTCATTTTGCTGATCATTAACCCATCCTATCCCCACCCCCTCAAATATTCTCTCCAAATTTACATCAGTGCAAGTGTGATTTAAATTGAAAGCTAAGATACATTTTACGAGCAAGAGGAGCACCTCCAGATAATTGACATGTCATGACAAACGCGCGGTGCAAATCTTCGAAGCTTGTGACGTTAGACCTCTCTGGCGCATGCATGTTTATTAGCACCCTCTACTGGTAAAAAGGTCATACAACAGCTTATAGAAATTTACTTTCACAGCCTGTCAACTAGCTGAAAAAAATAATCAACTTAGAGGGACGCTTTATATTTGTACGCCATTTGCAGCAGAAAAAAAATTCGATTTTTTTTCTATCATTAATTTGATAACCTCATTATTTTTTTCCTGTACATTTAATATGGTTTAAAATGGTTGGGTGGGCTGTGTGGACAAGATGAGTGATTTCTTGATAAACACTCAATTAGAGGTTCATATATTTTACTCCTTTACATCACAGCATTCAAAACCTCTTTGAAACTGTAAACTGTTTTTGCTGTATTTTTGTAACTGGTGTTGCCAATGTTTTAGATGAACATTCAGGTTTCTTGGGATGTAAATGGACTATTTAATTTACAAATTAATCATCGAAAGTAAAGCTAAATACATTTAAGACTTGAAAAAAATAGCAATACTACTAAATAGCAGGAAGGCAGGGCCGAGCTGCTGGAAAGCAGGCCTCGTAAAGCCACACCTGCACAAAGTTAGCAATCGGCTGCTTTCCAAACTCTCTCTTCCGTGCCAGACAATTTTTGCCTTCATGTTCGCTCCACATGTTTCTGCTCTTAAGTTGTTCTCTAGCCTTCCTGCTTCCAATTTAGTCCCTGCTTTGTACTGATCTTTTTGTTTTTGCCTCATTTATAAGAAGGGATTTTCCAAAAATTTGAATTTTTTTTCTCAAATAAACAATTCTGCCCCGGGGTCCTTGCTCCTTGATTGTACCATAGCAGAAATGGAATAACTTCAGATATTTCAAACAGATGTTAAAATTGAAGTTGTATTTCACCTAAAAGTAAACCCAAAAACATCTCACTCAGATTTGATTCCACACGAAAACATAAAATTCATTAATCGATGAATGAATCCGGGTATGAGAATAAAAGGTCTGACTGAACAAGTAAAAAGAAAAAAAAAAACGTTTTGCATAGTTTGTGACATACAATTTAAGTGTAATTGTGAATACAGTAACTGTGTGCGCGTGCGTGCATATGTACGTGCGTGCGCACGAATTGTATTCAACATAAAAATGGATGTTGATAAATGCTATTGTGTTTCCACGTTTTTGTTTTGCGGATTCACTGACATGGCCCTGGCCACCCTAAGGATAAAAGTCTCTCTGCCACTGACTCGAGAAAAGGGATTTTTCCTGGATTCAACCGGTAAATGAATGATACAGAATAGTTAATTTGTAATACATCAAGTGCATTTTTGTCATTCAAATCATTATATGTAGTATCCAAAATGTAGCAAGTCAAAGCTCCTTTATTAAAGAAACAAAGCCAGCAGTCAACAATTCCCTACAGGAAAACATCAAGACAATGTTCCTTTTGAAAATATTTATAGTGATCCAATGCGTGCTGATATTTCCTTCTGGCATTACAGTTGAAGAATGGACATCAATGTGAGGAAACAACGGAAAGCTAACAAAATATATAAAAAAAAAAACCAAAATCAAAATGCTAAATAGTCAACAATTTTAAGATACGATGATACGGAAAGGTCTAAAACTATATTGTATGCGGTCATCTCCGGACACGTTGGTTAATGTTTAGTACTGGGAATACTCTTTGCTCTCTAGTTTGGCAACGATTCGCTCCAGCTGTCGTTTAGCTTCACATTGTGGGAAGTTACTCATTTCATAGTACTGCGGGGCGATCTTGACCAGCCTGCAACACGAGAGAGAGAGACAATAAGAAACTTAATTTCTACTGACAGACCAGCATCCTCCGAGTTACCGTTACTCACCACTCTGGTTTAATGTCTGTGCAAGTGCGAATGTAGTTTTTGGTGGTGAGGACAAATTCGTTGTAGAGCACCCATTCGGGCTTGTGGTCCAAGACTGTGGATGGGTGCAGCTGGACCACTTGGTTGTCTTTGACTGTGAGGTAATGACCGGTTCGCTCCAGATGAGCTACCTGCAGGACAGACATCAAGACAATTGTACTGTAAAATGTGATTTGAGGTACATAAGCCGCATCCACTACATTTAAGAAGAAAAATAAAACTAAACTTTCCCTGTGTTTATGTCAATCACTTGTTTGTTTATAAACAGCATGTATGATACACACGTTAGTCTGACAGTGTGATAGAGATTAAATGTCTAGTCTACACAGCTTACAGTCCAAAATTTAGTGTACATCGATCACCAACCGTGTTTTTTATGTGATGTACGCCAGCAGTACTAACCTGCATGAAGAAGCCGGTGCAGAGCGCCCTGCGGATGTTAATGTAGTAGTCTCGACTGGTGAACTCTGTGCTCCGGCGGGGCAGGTTGAAGCGGTCCATGATCCTGGACAGCTGTTGCCGCACGTTATCAGCGGACATCAGCGAGCGGTAGTTGACAAAGTTGTCATAGCACCACTGGTTTGCCTCGTGGTCTGGAGAGGACCAAAAAGAGGAGTTGTTCGCTGATTTGAAAGCTAAGAGAGCAAATTCCCGCCGATTTACCAATCGTTTGTAAATTCACTTGCAGACAAAATTTTCTGTCCAACCAAAAGAACTATTTGCTGAAAATCTCACACTTGCACTTGGGCTTGTAAAGGAGTTTAAAATTTCCAGCGGATTTCTGCAATGTTTCAGTGAAATTTCCAAGTTCAATTGGGGAAGTTTGGAAATACGGTATTTGTAGCAAGTAACAGGCATCCCTAAAGCCTTATGTTCTAAGAGGGGCTTATTTCCCTTGCCCAAAACTAGGCAACCTTGTGAATTGTCACGAGAGTTCGCGGTGCTATCTACGTGTGTGTGTGTGTGTGTGTGTGTGTGTGTGTCTCTCTTTGTGTGATTGCGTGGTAGATTGTGTGGAGAGTCAAGTGGTCGCCGTCGATGTGGGCGAACCTCATCTTGGACTCGTCGGCGGCCTTCTTAGCCTCCGTGGGGCGAACAAAACACTGTGGGACTAAACAAGGTTGGTATGGGCCCCAACAAAGCCGCCCACAGGGATGAGTCAAAAATTCACAATGCTTGAAAGCGTGGTAGACGTTGAGGAGAGTCAAGTGGTCGCCGTCGATGTGGGCGAACCTCATCTTGGACTCGTCGGCGGCCTTCTTAGCCTCCGTGGGGCGAACAAAACACTGTGGGACTAAACAAGGTTGGTATGGGCCCCAACAAAGCCGCCCACAGGGATGAGTCAAAAATTCACAAAACAATCGAGAAAAGCCTAAGACGTGACAGCCGGAAGTGGCACGACCACAAGCCCTATCGAAGGGGTAGGGGGGTCTGCAGCCTTAGCTCGGAGAGGGTTGGGGGAAGCTCATTAAAGCACATCTGGAAAACAAAAGTTTTTACACAACTCCAAAGTATTAGGAAAGTCGATTCTACTTAACCGATACATTCATATACTTGTGAGAAACAGAACTCTACTAACTCTCGTCCCTGCCAATTAGGTTAAATATCATTCATCTCTCCCCCCCGTTTTTATACAAAATAAAAAGACGTGTTTTGGTTGTTTTGTGGCAAATATAAAATTATATTTTGGAGATGTGATAATTTGCCTCACACAGATGATATTATAGCATTAATATTTATAAAAATATACATTTACAACATAGCACAAGGACTATTAAATTATACTATTTGTTATTTTATCCAAAACAGAAAAATGTGTTGGAGGGGGCGGGGGGATAAGTTAACATGACATGTTTATTTCAAATTTTATTCAGTACCAGTAACTGAACATTTGTAATTAAGAATTTATGTCCACCTGATAAAGTTCTGCTGGTTCACAACCTCCAAAAGCCTGTTAGCTAGGAGGTGGCCAGTGCATCGTGGCACGGCATGGAAAAGTGCCATGACTCAGTGGGATGTATTCCAGACATCGGAGGGTTGAAGGGGATATATTTTCGCGGCTCAAACATAACGGGATGTGCAGGCATATGATAGACATACCAAATGTATTTGATTGATGATTGTGAAGTAAGCGGGCGCATTTTTAGCAGACACTGACGGCCACAGCATCTGAGAGCTGAGTGAACCTATCAGTTTGTCACCATATTAAACTTGGATTTAATATATGGGTACTTTATTTATAAATTTGGCAGCTTTATTAACACTTCTCTGCAGTGTGTAAAATTCATGAGACATTCTGATTTAGTCTTCAGAGCGACCTAAAATAGTTACGTTGGTATTAAAATTTATTAACCGTCATATCTCTGCTTTTGACGCTCAGCAAAGACATTTAGCCTGTTTTGGGGTTTAATAGTTTTAAACGTGAAATGATCCACAGTCTGACACAACACAGCGTGTCGTAGTACACAAAAGTGATAAGGCGGACCCATTGATCTTTAAATCCGCAAGTCGCTGCCTGTTAAGTCTGAATATTCAACACACAATATTTAATGTATCTCACCCTTCGGAGATTCATTTATCCTGAGTTGGCCTTGGAAAATCGAATATAATCAAACTAAAAACAGCACAATCCAACTTTGTTTTTTTTGTTTTTTTTTTTGTTTTTTTTACATGAATGGTGTTCCACGGCTCAAGTTTTGGGGCCCTTTTGACTCCTTGTGAATTGATGTGGATTCACCACAGACTTGGAGCCGGCCCAGTCGTGGGCATTACCTGACAGCATAGCAGTGATGGAAAGGATCTCATTGGAACAGTTGAACTCGCAGCTCGCGATGACCATCTTGGCCAGTTGGGGGTCGAGGGGAAACTCTGCCATCATGGATCCCAATTCGGTCAGGTCGCCATCGTCGTTGAGGGCGGCCAAGTAGTTGAGCAGCTCTAGGGCTCTCATCAGAGTCTCGGGAGCTGCAAGGAGGTTGAGGAAGAAAAATATGCACGACAACATTCAATTAGGGATCAAAAACTTTCGAACCTCACTTATAAACCGCGATCACATAAGCAAATTATTTGAAATTGTACTTATTGGGTATATACATATGTATTAGCATAATGAGGTTTCCTTCATCTGCTGGCCCTTTAACGGCAAGAGAGACTAGGTGAGTGAATGACTGGCGCCACACTTTGACGCAAAGTGGATTAAAGGAGAAAAACAAGTTCAGTCTGTGTCCACTCATCCCTGTACCTTAAGGAAAACAGTGACTCATCACTAAAGTATAGGTGACTTCACCACAAGAGAAAACTTGGCTTGGAGACGCTTCTGAGTAAATGATGTCAATCGGATCATGACAACCCTACTTATGTCTCTTCATTGGACCGAAATCTAATGGCATTGTAAAACTGTCAAATATTTTTATTTGATTAAAATAACAACAACAAAGTCTTCATATTTAAGAGAGTTCGACAACAGTAAATATCATCTTAGTTCTAATCATGTTAATGAAATTTTGTGGGGTCTTGCATGTGTGAAACTTCAATATTGGATAATTGTTCATTTTGAATGTCAACTACAAAGGGTTGCTGATTTTATATTTTTTGTAGTCAAAATTAAATTGC